ATCTTTATGAACTATGTTATGCCAATTGACTAAATTGTCACCTGAGCCTTTTAACCCAGAGAACGAATCCCTCAAGTACTTAAGATGTTTAGGAAGTCTCTGTAACTATGCCCTATATGCTCTTTATAATATATGTGGGTATAGCTCTAACACAGATACATATGTGTATGTGTGTATGTGTATATATATATGCCTACAGATACATCTATGTCTGGGTGTGCGTTTACTTGCTTATGTGTCTTTCTGTACACATATATACATACATATTTACCTATGTAGCCATATACATATTTTTTGGCCACTATTGCTATAGGGGCAAAATTGTATGTTATAGCATTAACCCAAATTATACCTTTTTCTTATGTAATTCTCAGTATCTTTATTTACCTTGGTTATGGTCTGACTTCACCACATTTGGTATTGTCTTTCCTATTACCTAAAATAATAAGTGTTTACTATCTAGACACTCTCTGCTCCTTCCATCTCTGGTAAGCATCAAAAACATTGCTTTCTGTGTGAATATTTATTGATTATTTTATATACACCTATAAAAATCAAGTATACAATCGTTGTCCTTTTAAAATAGACATATTTCCCTCACCTAATGTTCTCCAGAATCATCTATACTATAAGATCCTCTTTTAGTTAGTTCTGTTGAAGTGTCACCCATTTAATTTTTACTTTGATCAGTTGCATCTTCTTTAACCCTTTGTCAATTTGACCAGTGGTTTGCCAACTTTATTGATTCTCTCAAAGACCTAACTTCTAGTCTTGTTCATTCTTTCTGTTCTTTCTGTTTTCTATGATTTTTTCTGTTTTCTATTTTATTTCTGTTCTGATCTTTATTATTTCTTTTCTTCTGGTAACTGTGGTCTTCTTTTGCTGTTTCCTTTCTATTTGTTCAAATTGTCAGGTTAAGTTATTGAGGCCTTTTTTGATGAAGACTTTTTTGATGTGTGCATTTATTACTATCAATTTTCCTCTGAGCACTGTTTGGTTGTGTCTCAAAGGTTTTGGTATATTGTATTTTTCATTCTCACTTGATTCTAGTAATTTTTAAATGTCATCGTACCCAATAGTTCTTTAGTCAGTGTTTTCGTGTGTTTAATGCTTTCCTAGTTGTGTCTGTTATTGATTTCTACTTTATAGTATTATTGTTAGATAAGATGCTTAGTATTATTTTATTGCTTTTTAATTTATTGAGGCTTGCTTTGTGGCCTACAATATGATATTTTCTGGATAATGACCCAAGCGTATGGAGAAGAATATGTACTATGCTGCTGTTGGGTGGTGTTCCACAGGGAAACAAAGGAGATCCTGAATATATCAGATTTATAGTTATTTATACTCCAGTTTATACTCAATTATCCTGACACATATGTTCATTTTATGAAAATTCCTCAGAACTATCTTAATTGTCCAAGATGATTTTTGTTTCATTTTCCTAAGAGCAGACATACTTTAATTTTCATAATTCAATACACATGTGACACCACTCCAATGGACTGTGTAGAAACTCCTGGATTATTGCCACATAGATTCCTCCCACAACCCATCCACTATTCCACCTATCCTCCTCCCTAACTCTACCACTCACAGCCCCCTACCAAGATTCGGCATCCTGCATTCATTGGGCCCTGCCTTGCATTATCTAGTCTTAGCTACTATTTCATCCTGATTTCCCTGTGTATTATCTGCTGGAATCCTAATTGTCAATCTGAGGATTGAACACATAACTGAACCAGATCAACAACTCCCACCCTGAGCACTATATCATTATCTTTGATCAAGGGGCTCACATCTAATACTGAGGCTTCTGTTTCAGTGACACGAGTGGTATTTCTCTAAGTGTGACCAGAATGGGGTCCTTCCTGTGATTGTAACACGGCTAACACTGGTGTTCCCAATGGACAGTTGGGACGGGGTCAGCAGAAGGTAGCATGGGAGATAAACCTGCCTGGGAGATAAACCTGCCATCGACTCACCGGTGATTGTGTAAACAGCAGTGATAGCCAAAAGGATGACGATCGCCAGGTAAAGATCCAGCCCCAAGGCAAGCTTGATGAATATAGCTCCCGAGAATATGTCTGACTGAGACAGAACGGTTGGGACAGAAAAGAAACACGAGGTCAGATCTGGGTTTCTCTCATTCGATGTCTTCACCCTCCTCATTGTCTGGATGATGTTTACTGATACTTGAAGACTCATTGGAGTGTCTCCATAGTGATACTTTCCACAAAGTTTCAAACTGTGATCTTTAGAGCCCCTCTTCTATGTTCTCGTAGTTCTTAGTTCATTGCTCAGTTAAACCACTTAGTAGATGAGATGGCGTGTCCAGGACCTTTCTCTGTATGTTCTGTGTAGATACAGATACTCTTGATTATAACTCACTGGTGGTGTGGTGGTTACACATTGGGCTGTGATCTGCAAGGTTGGGATTTGGAAACCACCAACCACACTGAGAGAGAAAGATGAGGTTTTCTATTCCCATAAACTGCTCCAGTCTCAGAAACCCATAGTGGAGGTCACCATGAGTTGGCATCGAGTCGATGGCAGTGAGTTTATTTGGTTGGTTCTTGATTGTACAAGCACTTTATAGATGGTAGATAGGTAGATAGATAGATAGATAGATAGATAGATAGATAGATAGATAGATATCTTTAAAACCAATATTATTATTTGCCAATGAAGATTTTCACAATATGGATGCATAGTTACTTTACTTATATTACAATTATATACCAGTTTGGATCTATTTCAAGAGAAGAATTGTATACAGTTTTTTCCCCTGTCCTGATAAAATTTAAGGTGTAAGAGAATTATTTTTTTCCTTGGAACCTTAAAGAAATTCACCCCCAGCTCACTTCATTTCCTCGAGTTACCTATAAGGTACTTTTCTAATTACAATCAATTTGTATCTGAGTAAACTAAGGCTCATAAAGGTTACTTAATTTGCTCAAGGTCGTCAGATAGCAAGTGGAAAAGGCAGGATGTGTGACCCCAAGCATCACACTGTTAAATAGTCTAAGGGAAATAAGGGCTCTTGTCCTCACTGGGATGGTTAATGTGATTCGTTGATAGGGAGGGCGTCAGAAGCTCATAATTTTGTAACGATCATAGTGAAAACTGGATCCAGAGAGGATCGTTGAGGAATGCTGAAACTAGTGACAAAGTTGATGAAACTTTGCATGGGAGAAAGAATCTTATTCCAGACTGCTTGTTAGTTAAACGAAGATAAACTAGAAACCGTACAGTGGAGAGTTTCAGCAACACCTTGAGTGAGCAATCAAAATTAATATCTTTGAGCAATAGATGGGCAACAAATAACTCATGGGGAAAGCAAGATGGTACCTTGAGAAGGAAGCAACATCACCTATACAATATTCTAACAAAAATGCCTGACTTGAACTTAATCATGAGGAACCCTCACACAAATCAGAAATTAGCAGTATTATAAAAGGAGAAAAATGTATTCCTTAAAGAAATCAGTGTCATACAAGACAGAAAAAGGTTGTGGAACTATTTCATATGAAGAAGCTTGAGCCTATCCTGGTAAAGAACGTAGTCTATAAAGGATATTATTAGTTAAGGTAACAAAATTGGGATTCAGATGTCGACTAGTTTTATATCAATATTGCATTATATTGTATAATACAGCATTTATTGCATTTAGTAATTTATTAGGTCTTGAAAGAGAATACAGTGAACCCTCGTTTATCGCGGTTAATCGGTTCTAGACCCTACCGTGATAAATGAAATTCCGCGAAGTAGGATTCCTTATTTGTAAATCAAATATTTTCGTAGTTAGAGCATAGAGGACATGAAAAAACACCTTTTAGTCACCATTACACTCATATTACCCAATTTATTAAACTAAAAAGGGAAAATACAGTAAAACATTTTGGACGTTACAATTATCATTTATTATTTATTATATTATTTATGGCATCAAGTGTGTACAATATGAGCCAATCAGTGGCAGTAATGACAGAGCATGCGCTGTTACACAAAAACCGCAATAGAGTGAAGCCGCGGAAGTCGAAGCGCGAAGTGGCGAGGGTTCACTGTATAACTATTTCTACAAGTAGGATATGCACAGATTATGTTGAAGATAAAGAGCAAAAAGTTATTGGAAATACAAAATAAAATTCTTAGACTTAAAAGGATAACTTATTATCTTGATCACTATACATTAACAAGTAGTATGTATGTGGGGATGCTCCTAGCGTTCCAGTTCATACATGCACAAGCTTATTCCAAACAAAACATAGTTAAACATGCCTTTGCCACCAGTGATGACTACAGACAAGCTCTCTCCATGATGCAATGGTCAGTCTCCTTTAATGCCTTAAAAATATAAATTCCAAAAAGCCTAATCAAAACAGTGGCTGCTGAAGGAAACTGTGGCATCCATTAAATTCAAGGCAGAGAAGTCATCTCCGAAGTTATGGTGGCTTTATGGGGGAGATAGCAAAGGGATGATGATATTGATATATTTTCTCGAGGTGTACAGGATGGTGATGAAGCTTATTATGAATACATTTACATTGAAAATGATATTGTGAGAAAATATGGCCAGTAAAGTAGAGCTGAGGATTCCCCCCATTATACCAATACATGAACTCATTCATCATGGGTAGCAAGGCCTATCCTATGAGAATTTGTTGAAAAAACTTACCTCACCCACCATATAACCCTGCTCTAACCCCTTTAGATTTTTTTGTTCCCAAACATAAAGAGCATTAAAAATAACATTATGTGGGGCCTTTCAGGATGCCGAAATGGCTGTTTTAACATGGTGAAAACTGAACAATGTACATTCTTTAAAATGTTAGGCGCCTGGTCTGGTTTACCTCCGTCCTTGCTTCTCAATGCTGAAAGAATTCAAGCGGAAGAAGCACTTTTGTAAATCCAAGTAACTTTTATGAGGGAAAGGGAAGTTTCGGGTAGCACTGTCTCAGATAGAACACACTATCCCTGGAAAGCATGCAAGGCTGAATGGTGGGGGAGGGCGGGGGGCTGTGGGAAAGTTCACGGCTGAAAATGGCCACTTCAGGGGAGCATGAAAAGCCATATGAAAAATGACCAGGAAGTGGCGTTCCCAAACGGAGGAGGGGGAGGGGGGTAGTTCAGGAGAGAGAGTGTAAACCCCAGGAGGACATTCAGGCGCTGCCCTTGCCCTGCAACAGAGCGACCTGAGAGGGGGCAGTGGCCTGCTCTTAGTCTGCTTTTTAACCCCTCCTATACTCACTGGGTAGGGCAGCGTAGTTGAGGGTATTGGCCCATGTTAGTAGCTAAGTTCAGGTGCACCTGTGTGACGTAATGTCACTGGTGCCCAATGTGAATGTGCCCAGGTTGATCGCCACCTGAGCCTAGGTGACCTGGGTCTGAGCATGCCCGGTTGGGGATTTTCCCCAAAGGTGTCTAATGTGTGCCTGATTTCTTTGCCACCCCTTTATTGTGGCATGGCCAGATAATTTTTGTTTAGGGTAGGCATTTGGTGGAGACAACCCCCTTTATCCCTAAACTTTCTACTTTTCACTTCTCGGAAGGGCTAAAGGGGTAGAAACACTGACACCAGAAGTGTACGGCCGTAGGCAAATACGCATTAATTTGAGCGAAGGGGAAAGCAATATGCAATTGGAAGTAAAAGGAAGTGTATACACTTATATATGGAGGTTACACAATGAAACAAATCTGACACTTTGATAGTTTTGTCTAATACAGCAGTGGTAGTTACGTAATCTGGTGTCAATTTGAAATAGAGTGAAGTGGTGGGGTCTAGCCTGTCAATCAGGTCACAGCCTGATGGTACCTCCTTGTGGGTGTGGTCTTCTCGTAAGGAGGGTCCTGGAAACCTCCCCTCTCGCACTCTCTCTGCTACACCTTCCTGCTGTTGAGTCACTCCGAGAGCTGCCAGAGACACCGCTGTTGGATCCACACAACTCTGCACCCACCAGCCTGTGATCTTCCTGCATTCTGCATCACTGCATGTGGCTGCGTGAGTCTGAAGAGGGATTTATGGACTAACATTGGACTTATAGACTAGTTTCGGACCATGGACTTATTCTGGACTGAACTGGGATGTTTGCTTGATATGTCACTATTTCTTGCTTATAAAGCTCTCTCACACACATATGAGTGTTCTTGAAATTGTTTCTCTAGTCAATCTGGCCTAACACGTTATGGTACCTTGGAAATGGGGTACTAGAGAAACAAATCATGATGATAGAGAGTGGAGGCTTGTCTGACCTCTGCCTCATGGCAGTTTTTCTCTTTGGCAAGCTGGAGGTCAGATATGGCCATGCAGTTTACTGGGTGGTTTTCTGGGAAAGACATGGGAAGTGAAAGTTGAATTCCTAGAAGTTGTTTTTGTTTATTCCTGTCTGAAATGGTGAAAATGAATGTGATAAATGTGAATCTTGAGCTCAGGGTGCAAAATGGCCTCTTGAACTCTGAGACCATGCTGCTTAGTCAAAATGGTGGACAGAAGACCCCCACCCCCCTGGATTGATGCAGTCAGAGGCCTAAGACCATATTGCATATAAATGAGATAGTTTAGATAAGGATTGAATTTGACTGTTTTAAGAATTGTGTTTAGGATCTGGCTGTACTAGGTTTATACTGTTTTCTTTTGCCTATTGTTATTGATATGATGATTGATAGGAATGATTGTTGGGAAGTATGAAAATAAAGAGTTTGAAAACTCACTTCGGTTGGCCATTAAATTGAAACGTTAAATGGGTACGGGACATTCCTGCAAAGAAAGCTCTGAAAAGATAAGCCCTACCCAGTGTTTTGAGTGCTCAGGACATTTGCATTCTAAGAGACTTGCCTAGGGGTCTGTTGACAGACTAAAGAAGCAAAAAGGAACCTTTGGACTTTTTGAATTTTGAACTAGTTTGTGCCTGAAGCTGGAAGAATTTGGAGTCATGAAGAAATTTTCCTCTCTAGGACTAAATGTTAAAGGGAACCTGCAGGCAGCCTGAAATGCTTGCTAGGTGTCCAGCTGGATCTACTTGTTGAGTGGAAGTGGGAGAAATGCAGCAATAAAGAGATGGGTTTAGTCTGGCCACTGACACCCATGGACCTAGTTCACAGCAATTAGAGGGGAAGACAAGAGCAGGTTGGCTGGTCTGAAGTTTAGAGTTGTGAGGACATGACCTAGCCCAAGGAAACTAGGGTTGTTGAGAATTTTTGACTGGGCCCATGGTCAAAAGGTGAGGAGTGGGCACGCTGGTGAGGTTAAGTGAGGCAGCTGACATTGAGTTGACCAGAAAAGATTTTTAGCCTCTGAACTGGTGCATATTGCTGATGACTTTATAGACGGCCGGTCCTGATTTGACTTTGCTTATGCATGCAGACTCACAAGTTCAAACTGGAATGAAGATTACTCACATCAAAGGACATGCTGGTCTCCTTGGAGCACTGGGTTGACATAAGTGAACAGTATAGAAATTGGATACCCAAATTGGGGCAATAAAGGCATGAACTGGCTGGCTTACAAAATTTCATGGATGAGGGAAGATGTTCATAGGATTGTAGGATTACGGGCAGGTATTCACTTAACTGCAATTGTTAGGCATAGAATATTTTTGTTTTGTTCACTTATAGAATATTATGTTTAAATGAGGTTGGTACTTTTTGAGTTTTATGCATTTTAGTTTTATCCACTTAGGCACAAATATGATGTTATTTTTGTTGTGTTTAAAAAATTACGTATGGCTAAAGAGTTGTGTAAAAAGTGTCAAGTTACATAAACACTTGATAAATAGAGTGAAGTGGTAGAGTCTAGCCTGTCAATCAGGTCACAGCCTGATGGTATCTCCTTGGGGGCATGACCTTCTCATAAGGAGGCCTGAGAACCTCCCCTCTCTCTCTGCGTCACCTTCCTGCTCTTGAGTCACTCTGAGAGCTGCCAGAGACACTGCCATTGGATCCGCAAAACTCTGCACCTACCAACCTCTGATCTCCCTGCACTCTGCATCATTGCATGTGGCTTCATGAGGCTGAAGAGAGATTTATGGACTAGTATTGGACTTAAGGACTAAGATCAGACTTATGGACTTGTTCTGGACTGGACTGGGATGATTACTTGATATATATGATTACTTATTGATATAAAGCTCTCTCTTACACATACGTGTCACTGGATTTGTCTCCCTTGCCAACCCAGCCTAACACAACAGGTTTCTATGATTTAGAAGCAAAAATTTTGATTTATCCTCATATTATTAGAGATTGACAACCAATGAACAATGTCTTTTGTAAGCCTAAATCAAATGAGGATTACAAAATAGCCCCAATACCTCATAAAGAGTTGTTTAATAATTAATCAGAATAGAACCTATTATCAAGTTGTAAAAGTACACCAAAAGCCGTGTCTATGATTAATGGCTACTAATATCACTTAAAACTCAATGGCATCAAGTTGATCCTGACTCATAGTGATTTTATAGGACGGAGTAGAACTGACCCTGGAGATTTCCATGACTGCAAATTTTTGTGGGAGTAGAAAACCTCATCTTTCTCCTTTGATATGACTGGTGGTTTTGAACCAATCACCTGGAAATTAGCAGCCCAAGTCATAACCCAAAACATCGTTAGGGAGGGCATTCTTTGAACATGTTAACAGGAAAGACCAGTCCCGGTAAAATTATACCATGGTTGGTAAAGTGGAGGGACAGTGAAGAGAGAAAACCCTCGACAAGATGAACTGACACAGTGACTGCAATGGTGGGTTCACACAGAACTATCGTGAGGATGTGCTGCAGGACTGGGCAGTGTTGCATTCTGTTGTGTCTGAACTGACTGATGGCAATATCACTCAAAATATCCTTGGAGCAAGAATGGACTCATCACTATTATCATTCCTGCCAACTGAAAATCTGCACACCTTCTTGGCCTTCCCTGCTCTCCTCCCAAACCCCTCAGGTCTACAACATTCTGACCCCTTATTAACTCCTCCTTATCAGGAGCCCTCAACTCCAACAGGCTCCATGGAGTAACCATTTGGTTACTGTCTTTGTGCCACAGCACCTTGTTCATGTGCTTTACTATAAAGCTATAGGAATTAGAGACAGGATAACTAGGAGATTTACTTCCTTCTGAATCTCACAACCTTTCACACCTTTGATAATTATCTATTGCCTCCTTCCTGAAGAGGTCCTCTATATTCCACCAAAGAGTGTCCATTCTTTCCCGCGTGTCTATAGCACATGACCTGTGTCTACACATACTGTATTTCAGCCCACATTTTAGTATTTTTGCATATATTGTGATAACCTGCTAATTATTTCAGGTGTATGATTCTAGGAGAACTTCCAGCACACAAGAATCTTTGTTCTGCAAACATGGAGCCTAAAAACAAACAATATGTTTGACAAATGCTCACGCTGCATTAGGAAGGCTCATGCCATCCAATCTGGCTTATTTCCAACAGTGAATCAGCTAAACAGAAAAGCATGATGAGGATCAACTTCTTCTCTCGTGGACAGTGAGATAACTTCCTGGACTTTGAACTTTGCGATGAGAAGCGAATGATTTACTCTTTCATTGTTTCCTATATTTTCTGCTGCATCTTCAAAATGTGCCTTCCTCACTGATTATCTCCAAGGGATGTGATCTCTTCAAAATGTCCTCATTGCTTTATCATTAATTTCCAAAGCCAATCTTAGCTAAAGTAGAGTAAGTTTCAGAAAATTCAATGTAGAGCAATAAAACACTTTTTTTGGGCGGGGGGGGGCTTGTTATGTGTCAGATAACCCAGATGAAAATAAAAGTATAAACCCAGACTCGCCCAAAGAGAATGAAGAGGATATCACGTGGTCCAAGGGCAGCCCAGGGAAGTCCTGCTCTTTCCCAATACGAAATACCTGTTACTTGAAGGATACATTTTGTTTTTGCTTTACATCCATTTCCCCCCATATCCTTAATGAGAAGGGAAACATAGACTCTGGAATGTCTCACAACTTCAAGAGTCTACAAGTCTATGAACACAGTCTCTGAAGTTTCTGATTTCCTATGAAGACTTGGTAGAGACCCAACTTGCTAAGGCTCCAGTTGGAAAGGCTGTGGGTTGTTTACTCCTCTAGCGCTCCTAGTGCTCTACCTCACCAAGTAAATCATGTAAAGGCAGGTTGCCGGGAGGCTCTGAACTCACCGAGATTCTTAAAGCCACGCAAATGAAGAGGGATAAGATGGAGAGGTAGATTTGGAGCCGCTTCCCACCAAAGCGCTTCTTCAGATATTCTGGCATGGTCATCACCTGCAGAAACAGACATCAACAGGCACTGACCACAAAGCCCAGCAGCACATGTAGACCAGTCAACATTCACTAAACACTAACAATTTGCTATCATCTTGAGAATACAGGATTGAGAAAGTAATGATTCCTTGGGAGAGCAGCAAAGTCCAGGAATTGGGCTTCGAATCTATCCTCACCTCTGACATATACTGATGATTCAGGCTTCTGTCCGTTTCTCTACCCAGTCTCTATTGCCAATATCCACACTTCACTGCAGCTTAACCACTTGGGACTATTTTAAAGTCCCCAAATATGCTGGAACTACTTTAAGGTCCCCAATTATGCTGAACACTCTCGTTCTGGACCATTGCTTGCAATATTTTTCTGGCCTGGGCAATTGTTCTCATGCATCGTTGACTGGTTGAGCCATTCCTCAAGTCTCTACTGAGATGCCTCTTCTTCAAGGAAGCTTTTCTCAATACCTAACCGGCATCAGGGACAGCTCCTCAGGGTCTCCCGGTAAGGGTTTCTACTTATAATAGTTTCCTTTTCTAATCGGGGAAGTATAGCTTCTTGTTAACATCTCTGAGACACATTTGGGAGCTCCAACAGCATTTCCAAAGCCAAGTCCACAGCCCAGATCACCCTCCATGTCCATAGTAGTGTCTGGAAGATACCAGTAATTCACTCAGTTCCCAAATGAACTCATTCTCCTTCCTGCTGTGAATCATTTCGTTTTCTCTGGGATCCCCTTCTTCCCTAAGCAGTGGCCTTACATATTCAAGTCCTTCAGATTAAGGTCTTTTAATATTTATTTATTTATAGTGTCAATTGGGTGAAGGTTAATGGAGCGCATCAGTTTTTCATTCAAAAACCATACACATTTCATTTCGTGTCATTGGTTGCCATCTGGGGATTGTGGCGAATGCAACATCCCACTTCCTTCCCGTGTTCCCTGTTTCCATTCCCCTCCTTTCTCTAGGGTCTTTTCATGATTTTCCGTCTCTTTATATTATTTTCTCAAATCCCTCATGACCCCATTTTTCTGCCTACTGGACTCATGTAATCTCTGAGAATCGTTTCTTGAAGTGCATGTGTGGCTCGGTGTCAGTGTTACTGCCCTGGATGGGGCTGGCCGCTATCACAATGGTCGTTGTTCAGAGCCATCACTGACTGGTCTCCTTGCTGCAGTCACAGTATATATACTCGTGTCTCTCTAGGCAAGGGACCATGTTCTTGGTGTTTCTAGAAGCAGGCTAGGTAAATGCCAGCACCTAACCATTATGACTAAGCCGAATACACGAGTGAATAAATGATGCCTACAGTGCAACCTGGAAGATGGGCACAGAACTCCAAACGGCAGATACTTACCCCTGCCTTGATGTATATAGGGACGAAAAACCACCCCAGCACTAACAACAGCAGCAAAGCCTACAGAAAGAAAAGGTGACAGTAAATGGAAAGAGACTCTGTCGTGGACCTTTTCACGTCATACGCCCCGAGTTGGAAAAGAAAAGCTTGTGTGGATGTTGTCACACTTCACTCAGGGATGGCCTGCGGAGAGCAGCTGTGGCTTCCTTTCCTGTTTATGTAATCCAGAGGTCCTAGTGTTTATAGGCTTAACCAAAATAATAGTTGAACACACACACACACACACACACACACACACACACACACACACACACACACTTGCACGCAACCCAACACAAATGATTGCCGTTGAGGTGATTCCAACTCACAGCAACCCCGTGCAGGGTTCCTGAGATGAAGCATCTTTTTGGAAGCAGGTAGCCTCATCTTTCTCCCCTGGTGGGTTGGAACCACCAGCCTTGCAGATAGCAGGCTACTGCTCATTTGACAGTGCCATCACAGCTCTTTGGGACATGATAAAAGATATGGGTTGAAAAATGAACAGAAGTAAAGGATCTTTACCAAAATAAAATAAGTAGTGATATTAGACATGATAGAGTGACAAAACAATGAGAAAGAAAGTTAGACATAAGATAATGTTCCCAATCCTTCTCATCAGGTCTAGAAATATAATGATAATCGTAGAATTTTGCACTGATATGCAATGTTTACCGAGAAGCTTTACATATATCACTCATGCTTCTCTCATACAATCACATGAGGAAGGCCCGGTGAAGCAGTAATTCCTGAATCATGGAGAAGAACATGACACTCACAGAGATAAAGGTCAAACATTGTAAGAGGCGCAGCTGAAATTTGTGCACCCTGATACCCACACTCACTTAGTCATAGTTAGAGTCTAGGGTTAGATTCCACTCTGGAGTCCCTGACATTATTTGAGAAAAATTGGGGACAAATCATTCAATCAAGAGTCACAAGCATTTGTATTGGCTTATGGTGATTTCTTGTGTCCATCTGATGGTCTGCTTACACTTTCACTATAGCTCAATTTTCTTTTGTACAGACATTTTCCTCTGACTGATATGTACCCTTCTGTATATACTGGAAATGTCAAAGAACATGAAAAAATTCAGCCACTTCAATAAAGATGTATGGCATGTTCACCATGTGCAGAAAGCTGGGGTGATCTGAGTGGGAAAGAGGACATGACCTCTGACCTTAGAGATCATAGAACATAATTAAGGAGGTCTAACTTGTACTGGTAAAGTAGCAGGATATTTGTGAACTTAATCACAGAGCCCTGTAGAGTCGATGTACCATCTCATCAACCATTTGCTACTCATTCCACTGTCGCAGACTCAGTCAGGCCCCACTTGATTAATAGCCCCCTACACCTGGGATGAGCTGCAGGAAGTTCACTGACACTTGCTAAATTTTGTCCACAATGTATGCCCCTATCCTGTGAGATCCTTTAATAGTTGCATATGTTTCTGACCTTGTGTTTGCTACTATACTTCCTGTATGTGTGTCTGTCTCTGCGCCTGGAAGATAAGCTCCTTAAAATAATGAAGTGCTCATATATTTTTTTTTAATTCCTTGCATCTTTTTTAAAGAGCTTGACACATAGTGTCAAGGAGGAGAGAAAATTGAGAGCTAAAGTGGCCAAGGAGGTCATCACAAATGGGCTTGAGTCATATAAAAATGACACTTGCGGTTGGCATAACTACTTGAGCAAAAGATCAGAGTATGAGATAGGATGGCTCACGCGGGAAAGGGGCTGCAGGGGAATGTCTTAAAGGTCAAATAAGGGATGGACAAGGAAGAGGCAAGAATAGAATTCAAACCAAAGAGGAATTAATGCTGTAAAAATGTCCAGAGGGAGCTGAGCCTCTGCTATGAATGTAATTGAAGGGGGGAAAGCCTGTGATGGGACTTACATTCCATTCAAATGCTGCAGTGGCAATGCCTGAAGCCGCTCCAGTCCCAGCCAGCCCCACGAAGTGGCCACTGCCAATGTTGCTGGCAAAAAGGGAGGCGCCCATCTAGAATCCAAGAGAACAGGTGAGGGTCAAAGGTGAAAGCCTCAAATCAGAATTCTTGAAGTCAGGTAAATGTTGAGATACTTCAATCACTACTTCTTAAGCAGGAGGTAGCAAACTATGGCTCTGGACTAAATCTGCTGAACTATTTGTACGGCCCCTAAACTATGAATGTCTTTACATGGTTAAATGTTTAAAAATAACAATAAATAAATAAATAAAGCAAAACAAAACAAAGCAACGACAGCAAAAAACAACCTAGAGAAGAAAAATATTTTGTGAAATATGAAAATTATATGACATTTAAATTTTAGAATTCAAAAATCACATCACACTCATACGCTTTTGTACTGACACTATTTGTTTTCACGCCAGAATGCTAATACTATTCTGCAGTGATAGAGTGAATGGCTCAAAAACCATAAATACTTGAAATCTGGCACCCTACCAAAAAAATCTTGCCAACTGATTGCTTAGGTGAGCTGTGCTTGATAGGCTCCCTACTGTGATCGGAACTTGTCCCTTGTCAAGAACTTTCAGACTTCCCATCAGCATTTGCTCTTCTGATCAGCCAGAAGAATTCCAAAGCTGGGCAAGAGTAATGCTTCCCTCCATCCTCCTGGCCCCGAGACCCTCTTCTCATCTGTTACTTCCCCATTACATCACCTACAGGTCTTAAAGCTTTAGCCCAAGATAAATCTCTTGCATGGGCACAGATCGGGCGCATATTCACCCTGCAGGACAGAGAAGAAATGCTCCACAGGGTTTCCGGGCTGTCAACTTTATGGAAGCAGATGGCCTCTCTTTCTCCCATAGAGAAGCTGGTCAATTCAACACTGAACTCACTGCATCACCAGAGATCTTGTAGAGTGGAACGAGGAGTCCTTAAATCCCAGAGAACTGGCTCTCGTAACTGGTGACTAATTATAATTTAATAACTCTAATGCTAAGAGCCCTGAGTAAGGATTTAGGGGAACAGGTATCAATCAGCAAGGGGGCACCCAGTATAATTCAGAAAACATCATGAGCCCCCATGTTTCCTTTATTCACTCTTACATAACATACCAAACCAAACCAACTGTCATCAATTCAATTCCAACTCAGAGAAGCATAGAACATTTAATTCTTGGGAATTCTGACTCACTCACCGGCCACCAGGCCACATTTCGACCAGCCAGGAAGAAGCCTCCAACAGTGTCCCGATTAGTCTTCAGCATGGCCTGAACAGAAGGGTAGCAAGGTGAGGGACAAACTAAGCACAAGCACCAAGCCAGCCCCCCAGATGCTCTGGCCTGGGTGCTGACAGGGGCAACCACTTTAGCACTTCGAAAGAGAAACAGTTTCCTGAAAGCTATGGTATAGCAGAAGTTATGCCTTCAGAGGTACACCTTTAAACCTTAAGAGGTACCAAAACCCAAGTTACATAAAAACCTGGAGCTGGAAGGAACTTAAGAAATCCTCTCCTGCAACTTCTGTCCTAAGTGCTTTGTTTATTTACTCCATTCAAGCATTGTGAGCTACCGCCAATGCTAGGCTTGCGAGAAACTTTGCATCCTCAATTTCACTAATCAGGAAGGAAAAAAAGTAAATGGGCTAAGTGGCCAACTCACTAAGTTAGGCAGTCAACAATAAATGAAAATAAAATGAATAAGACAATACAAATAAAGTCCTTATTCCGCCCTATCAGCCACTGAAGTTGCCGAACAGAATAAATCGGAAGTCCTCAGTGCTGATGATCTTCACAATGATGGGGCTGTTAGGGGAATAAAGCCACCCACGCCGCTCAGGTTAAACTTACTTATGTTACACACACAAAAATGACTTTGATAGAAAGACAGTGGAATTTGTGAAAGTTATCGAGTGTCCTTAGCTTGGTCGCTCCTGGTCCTCTCCCCTTCTACCTCATGCCTACCCCAAAGCCTCAGTGGACTACCACATACCCACAGCCCGACCACCATCACCACCACAAAATAGATGACAATGACAGAGATGTCAGCAGCATTTTGGATGCGCCTTGACATTTCAGGTAGCTCCGGCACCGCAGCCGTGGTGCTGGGGCTAATTGTGCTGGCCATGACCTCAGATGGTGTTTCTCCCTCCTGGGTGGCCTTTTCTTTATATAATATCTGGGTTAATGATCAGCTTCATGCAGGTGGGGCATGATATCAGAGCTAGTGCTTGGCCTGGGGACCTTTAAACCTATCCTCTGAAGCCGGGCTCAGAGACTCTGGCCCTCCATTAGTCATTGCTGGCCTAGGTGACAGCTAAGAATGAGGCAGGAGGGTCCAGAAATTGGGTGAGATCTGGAGATGGAATGGCCGGGTCATTGAATAGAGACATGGAGCATTTAAAATAATGTGGCCAGGTTAAGCAAGGATCAGGGGGAAACAAATGGAGACAAGTGAAAGAAACAAAGGGGTTCAGAAGTCAATTAGGAAGGAACGGAAGGTGATGATTCTTCATAAAAAAGATGAGATTCCTGAATGAGAAGTTATACCCCTTGAAGATGAACTTAGTTATATATTTCCTGGATTTAAGGGACCAATAGTTTTCTGGAAAGGACAACCTAAAATGGACAATGGTGAGCTAAAGAGGAAAAGGAAATGATTATGCCAGCACAGCACATGGGGTGTCTGTGTGTCTGGATGATACCCTATAAACGAATGCTACCAGTGTCCCTATCCTTAATGCTAAGAGTAGCCTAACCTTATCCCTAACCACATTACACATAAAACACGAATCTTATCCATAACCCTAACTATAAAGAAAAGCATAATCCTCACTAACTCCAACCCTACCTCCACCCCTACCCCTAACCATAATTTTAACCCTAACTCTAAGGCTAGTCCTAACCCTAAACTTATTCTATCCCTAATACAAACTTAACCCCAATTCTAACTGTAATCCTACAGCTATTAACCGTAACCTTCACACTATACCTCAAACTAACCATATCCTTATGGCTAACTTTATCAATAATGATATCCTTAAACTTTTACCTAACATTAATCATAACCCTATCCCTAACCATAACATTATCCTGACAGCTAAAGATACCACTATCCTAATTGTCACCCTAATCCTAAACCTACACATAACACTAATCCTAATCCAAATGGTAACCATAATCATAACACAAGCTCTAATGCCTAACTTAACCTTAACCCATTCTAAGGCCAACTCTAAACCCTAACCTAGCCTTCACCCTAACTATAACAATAATTATTAGTTTACTCATGTCACAAACACTACCTCTAACACCAACCCTAACCATACTCTAACCCATCCTAATCATATCTCTATCTCTAACTCGAACAGTGTATGTATTCCTAACCCCAAACTAGTCCTAAACCTAATCCTAACCATAACCCTAATCTTGTCCTTGACCCTAGCCCTAATTCTATCCTTAACCCTAACTGTAAACCTAAATTTAATATCATATTGAACCCAAAATTTAAACCAAATACTATTCCGAATTTTAACTTTAAATCTTAACCTTAACCCTAACTTTAACCTTAACCTTAAACCCGACCATGGTGACTGAATGTGGGAGAGGAGCCTTCCAGGCGTTCATTTGCTGATGGGGCACAGTTCAAGGTAAGAAGAGATTGCTGCAAAATCTACTAATAATCAGATAAAGAAAGTCTGGTACACAGAGAGAATGGAATACTGTGCATCCCTAAAAACAGTGATGAAACACTTCATGACATGGATGGACCTAGAAACCATTGTGCCAAGTAAAGTCTAGCAATCACAAAGGGATGAGTATTATGAGTCCACTACTATAAGAATAAACACCTCGACAAAGGCAGGCTTCTAACTCTCAAGTCACATAAAACTTCTAATCCAGTTTCCCAAACATAGAGGTAGAGAGCCAACCTAGCTCCCAGGAACCATACACCATCCCTCTTATTTGAACATCTTTTAACAAATAATTTGTATCCATCATTTTTAATGATAGAAATCCAACTTTAATTCTAATTGGTGGTTCTAATTCTTTTCCCCAATAGTTTTATTGAGATATAATTCACATACATTTCCATAATTCATTCATATTTTAAAAGAAATATATACACCTCCACAATTTGTTCTAGTGCATCCTCCCTCCTCCTATATTCATTATTTGCTCTCCAATTCCCCCTCAACATTCCCCTACCCCTACAGGCAGTTTCATCAATTATTGTCTCAATACATCTGCTCCTTCTGTGCTTCAGAAACAGGAAAACATGCAAAGAAAAAGACAACAGTACATACAAATGCAAGAAATGACTACCGGCAATATTAAAATAAGCCAGAAAGAAAATCTCTGCTTGGAAACAAGCAAAAAGTATTTAAACTTAGAATAAATCCAGAATCGGTCAACAGGGAGATCAATTGACCAGGTATCATATTATGCCATAGTTCCATCCACCATATTCAAGTTTACAATAATCTCTGTCTCATAGGAAGGGTATTCACATCTCCCAACTGTGTTTACAGGAGGATTGCCAGAGCCCTAATCTGCATAAGTATTTTTGTAGATGATTTGGGGCTCTCACTGTCCTCCATTGTCTTCTACAAATTGGGTGTTTAAGCTCTGATATCTTTCCCTCCATCTTATTTGGATTTTATAATTTACAATCCTTGGATCACACAGGTGATTGTGGTTCTTCCATGTGGATTTAGTTGATGCCTCACTTAGATGTTGCTTGTTTGAATACAAGGCTTTAAGATCCCAGACACTATTCTTTTTGATAGCACCCATATCTTCAGTGATCTCTTCATGAAGGCAAGCATCGAGCAAGGCCAGTCATAAGAACTAAATCTTCTTGGATTAGGGCTAGATTAAAAAGGAGCCCAGAGTCCATTCACTTGGCTACAGATTATGTACTACTCTGGTTCACTTTAGAGTCTTGTCATCATTTCATGATAACATTATCAATCGTCCCCCCTGGAGCATAAGGCAATTCAATTGATAGGGTCATTAATGTATCCAATGGCATAGAATTTAACATACTATTGAAAAAGGAGGAAAAGCAAGTATCGCCCAGCTCTGAACTACAATCTACAGGTTGTTGATTTGTGCAGATTGAATTCTTAAATGATTGAGCTCCATGTACATTGACCATGGGGGTTGGTGCTCAAAAAAGAATTCAAATAACTTACAAGGGCAGATCCTTGCCTATCAGATTAATGCATGTCATATTAAAGCAAAGAGGGTATTAAAATAGTAAATATATGATAGTTCTGGGCTACCTTTCATTGGGTGCCCACGAAACCTGGAATGCTAACCAAGGTCCAACGACTGCCAAATCCAGAGTAGCTGTATTTATTTCTTCAGGGCTACAGGTAATTTTGATGGAGAGCCCAGTTCACTCAGTAGAATTTCCATGACGAGTCCTTCTAGTGTGACTATGAGGGATGCCATGTTCCTTGAAAAATGACAGAGTCTAAGGTCACCGTAGTACATAGCACATGGTGTGGCTCTCTGACGGTTGGGTAGAAACCAATTCAAAAGTGTTGAACCAGGAACATATCATCAGGCTCCTTCTCCCTTTGGGCTCTCTGTAATTGTTGAGCACCCTTTCCTGATGTGAGGTTGCTCCTTACCATTTACCCATCAACAAAAATAAATGCCTCCTCTGAAATCTAGATGCTCCCCTTCCCTGATATTGACTTGACTTTTTTTTTCTTTTTTAACATTTTATTAGGGGCTCATACAACTGTTATCCCAAGCCATACACACATCAATTGTGTAAAGCGCATTTGTACATCATTTCTCAAAACATTTTCTCTCCATTTAAACCCCCGACATTAGGTCCTCATTTTTCCTCTCCCTCCCCGCTCCCCCCTCCCGCATGAGCCCTTGATAGTTTATAAATGGGTATTTTGTCATATCTTGCCCTGTCCGACGTCTCCCTTCGCTTTTAAGTAAGGCTCTCAATCCTGTGGAGTGTCTATTGACCTTGTCTCAATGTTGTATGCCATCAAGTGGGTGGTCTTCTCCCTTTCCCCCCTTCTGGACGGAGTGACCCCATCCCATGTCAGGTCTCCTCTTCCCAGGTGGTTCTTCATAAGTGCATATAAGGCAGGTGATGTTCATGGACACTAGCCAGGCTCTTTACCCCTTTGTTTGCAAATTGGTGTCTAAGATTTGTTTAATTGGTGTTTTACCTTATAATAGTGGGCTCGTACAGGTTTTGTCCTTTTGTGAGTAACTTCACTCAGCATAATGGTTTCCAGGGCCCTCCGTGTCATGCAGTATTTTGTGCTTCGTCGCTGCTTTTTAGGGTCACATGTATTCCATTGGTTGTATGTACCATAGTTTCTTTACCCATTTATCGTTGGCATTTGGGTTGCTTCCAGTTTCTTGCTAGTGTGAACTGTGCTGCAATCAACGTGGAAGAGCTTACCGTACATCCACTTATGTTTTGTCTCATGTCTTTGGGGAATGTGTCCAGTAGTGGCATTGCTGGATCGTAGGGAATTTCCATCCTCGTTTGTTTTAGGCAGAGCCTCATCCCAGTGTTCCATAGTGGTTGTATGTATTTACAAGTCCACAAACAATGTATACAAATTCCATTCTCTCCAGCATTTGTTGTTTTCTGTTTTTAATTTGGTTAACATCGTGGGTGTAAGGTGAGATCTCATTGTGGTTTTAATTTGCATCTTCCTGAAGGCTAGTGATTCTGAGCATTTTTTGAGGGTGGGGGGATGTGTTTGTTAGCCATTTGTGTGTCATTTTTACTGACCTGTCTATTCAGATATTTCCTATTTCTTAATAGGTTTGTTGTTTTCTTAAATTTGTTACTTTCTTATTGAGTTGCTGTAGAGTTTTGTAAATTTTGGTAATTAGATCTTTGTCCATTGTGTCATTGGTAAAAAATTTCCACAGTCTGTGGGCTCTCATTTTCCTCTTTTGATGAATCCTTCTGATATGCATCAGTGAAGTATTTTCAACATGCCCCAGTCATCTATTTTGTCTTCTTCTGTGTGTGCTTCCTTTATTAAACTTGGTAGTCTGTGTATGCTCTGCAATAGGGCCCTTAAGTTTGTTCCAATTTTCTCTCTGATGATCCTGATAGTTTTGGGGTTT